TCAGGATAGACACATATGTTAATAACATAAAAAATTTTAGTGGGGTGACACAACTAAAATTTTAAAAATATATAACTAATAAAAAAAATCGGATTTCAAGTGGGCACATGCTCATTCTTAAATATATGTGGGTTTATCATTAATTGAGACCTAATGAGTTTATTTTCTTAGTAATTTTTTAACTCCGCAATGGCATAATGAATATTAAAAGGATATCACGTATCTTTTTACATAGTATTTAAATCATCGTAATCTCTCTATAAAGAAGCATTGAGGGTTGGTACGGCCTTGAGCCCCTAAATGATAAAATTGATGTTTAATCCCTTTAAATAATTTAAATTAAGACGGTGATTAAATTGTATTTTAACTTTAAATAATAATTTTAGTTTAGTCCATTAAAAAATATTATATTCTACATTAATACAATGTCAAAATTTATATTTTGAGAGTGGCCCCCGTAATTGACATTTTTTATATTTAGTCCATTAAAAATTATTAAATTTTATATTAATACAATGTCAAAATTTATATTGGTAGCGTTTACGAATGAAACAAATTAGGTTCGGATGATCGCCTCCATAACGAACATCTGTAATACTCAATCCAAAATAGTCGATTAATAGATCGAATATCGGTGATTAAACCAATAAATATTTTTGACTTGTTAAAACAATCATATTAATTAATATTGGCTCCTCAAAGTTTATTACAACGTTGTTCCGATCTCCTTAAATTATGTGCTTTAAGCATGCTTGAGGTCATATCTTTTCTATTATGTAATCAACAATTTCTAGAGCAAACTGTTAAAAGCTTTCGGTTGATACTTTTCCTCTCCCCTAGATTTTGGGTTCAATATTCATTATGAGCAAAATTCTTCTTTTCCCTCTCTTAAGTAGAAATTGTTCGAAAAAGAAAATCATTTATATCTTGTAATAATAACGATATTAATTAAATGAAAATCCAATCAACAAGTTTTAATTGCATATTAAGAAGTTAATAAATAGTTTATTAGTGAGCGTGCAATAAGTGATAAATATACTTATTATATATATATATATATATATATATATATACACACACATTTTCATATAAACTCGTACATTATATTGGTTGAAATATCAATTTCAACCAAATAAAGAAGATAAGACTTTTTGGAACAAAATTAGTTGTAATTAGTTTGCATAGTAATTTACAATCATATCCACAAAATATTATTTTTATTTTCATATACAATTTAACCAAATTAACATCAATTAAAAAAATGCAACGATCATTAAAAAAACTCCATCACTACTATATCAAAATAATTATTTTTTATTTTTATTTTAAACTGAAAATATTACATATGGTTTTTAGAAAAATCAAAGAAAATCCAAGCAATATTACATGAAAGGAAGCATTCTGATGCAGGTGGCACCAATCCATGGTACTTGATGTTTGGTTATATGTGTATACACTATATTTCATGGTCCCCTTCAATAGTTACCTGTACTTTTAGGTAGACATTAACGTAAAATTTTATGTTAGAATGATGAAATTATAAAATTTTGAAGGATATATAAATTTATAAAATTTTAAAGGATATATAAACTTATAAAATTTTAAGAGAGAAATGAACTTATAAAATTTTAAGAGGAGAAAAATAAATTTTTAATAAAAAATATATAAAAATTTAAAAAATTTAGGAGTGGGGAAGTCCTCACATACCCTCTCCACGTAAATTACTTTTAAGACGGTGCCTTTCATATTTTGGAATAATTTTTTTGAATAAATAAAAACATTTTTGTTTATATTTTTTACAAAATGTGTTTAAATTGGTATATTTTTTTTATTTTTCAATATTTAATATCAAGTAATGATCTAAGCTGCAGCTATGCCAGAAAAAGGTTTGAAGTAAATGATAGATAATACCCTTTTTTGAAATATTTCTTGACCGACAACAGTAGAGTAAATAATTGCTATTAAATGAATAGGTCAAATATTTTCAGTAGTCCTTGTATTGTACAAAAGTTATAGCTTTAATTCATATACTCTAATTTCATTAATTTTAGTCCTTACATTTTCAAATTTTTAAAATTTAAATCCTAACACAAATAATACATTGACAATATAACTAAATTACAAGAACTTTAAAAGATCAAATTAGAGAACAACAATTGAATCTACAACTTATGTATAATATGTGTAATAGAAGAATTTGACTCAAAAGATTAATTGCTACTGTTTGTGTTAGGATCAAATTTCAAAGTTTGAGAAGCATAAGGATTAAAAAAATGTACACAAAAAGAAACACATGTCTTAATCATAACATATATACTAATAAAAGAATTTGACCAAAATAATAGCTTAGAAGTAGAGTACACTTAATCGTGCGCTGGAAGAGGGATTTCGAGGATAATTTTTATCTAGGTTTTAAAAGTCCCAAAAAATGAATTCCCTTATTTGAGAAAAACAAGGGAAAATTTTAATATTTACAATAAATTTCAGAAAAAAGATCTGCACAATTCAAGTGAATTCGATAATAAAAAATTATTGTTATTTCTTGAGATTTTGGGTTCGAGTATTAAGAATGTCAGGGTGTGACGTTCAATGTTAAATGATTGAGAATTATTTTTAAACAAATACTACACTATACTTATTTCAAATTAAAAAAAATTAAAAGAAGATTTTGATAGTCCAAATCTCTTATTATAAATATTATGAGAGAGATTTGTACTATCAAAATCATTAATATTTATTGTGAAAAATACTAATTTTAAGAAGATTTGGACTATTAAAAATAAATTAATATTAAAATTGTAGTAGATTAAAATTATTGTCTAAAAATTTGAAAGAATCAAACAACAAATAAATTTATTAATAATCCAAAAATCTTTTTACATCAATTATTTGGATATTATATTAAAATTTAGGGTTATAATTATATTTATTATTTATGAAGTAATGTGGATTTGAATTGTTTTTATATTAAATCCACCAAATCAACGAAAATATTATTCTTTATAAATATTTGGAGTTTGAGCAATTAATTTATAAGTACGAGTTAAATAAAAAAAATTGAAAACTGAGTTCTCTGAGTCAGAGCAGACAGAGTGTGCAAAAAGTTGTTCCATACACCAATATCATTACCCCTATGAGACTGCTCAAATCCTAAAACAATCGTCCACGGGTAAGGATATGATTTTGCCATGTCTTCAAACAAAATCCAATCTCAGTCTACTTCGCCCTGGAAGTTTGGAGTTACACCCCCTCTTTTTCATTTTGCAGAAATGCACTATATTTAAAATTTTAGGTAAACTATCCGTTTAGTACCTAAATTATCAAATTTGATCCATTTAATATCTAAACTTTCAATATTTTTAACACTAATTTTAGTACTTCGTTAAAAATTTAAAGTTAAGTTTTGGGGAAAAAAAATGAAAGTTTATGTATTAAAGCGGGTTAAAACTGATAGTTTAGGTATATGAAACAAAAACTAAACGTTATGTATGATTTTGAAAAAAGATTAAAAGTTTAGGTATTAAAATGGATCAAAATCGATAGTTTAGGTACTAAATGTATAATTTATCCTAAATTTTTAACATTTAGCATCCAAAATTTAAAAAAAAACATTAGAACATAATTATACGTGAAATTCAAAAGGTCCGAATAACTTTTTTCTACCCTCTAAATTTATATTTAATTATTTTAACCTTTAAGTTTTTGTTTCATTTTTTATCATTGAATTTTTATTTTTTATTGAATCAACTTAAAAGTGATAAATCACAACATACCATTAAACTTACGTAATTATTTTGATGTTATTAAAATAATTATATTAGTTAAGTTATTTTTTATTACGTTATTAAAAAGTTAATAAATAATACACGAACCAAGTTACTTTAGTAGTTAAAGAGATGGTTGTTATTCCTTAAATTTCAGGTTCGAGTTCTAGAGATTGTAAGAGTGTGAGCTTTCATTGTTAAATAATTGAGAATTTATAAAACATATATTATCTTGTAATCATCATAGATTAATAAAAGACCAAATAATAAATACTATTTTTTAATAAAAACATATATTTTTTTGAATTTTTTAGTTACATGACAGAAAATGACAATACTTGATATTAGTTTAAGGACATCGTTATCGTTCTATTACATTTAGATTAATTTGATAAAAGTTAATAATTTGATGGAATAGAATGTTAGGGGTTAAATTAATTATTTTGACAAAATTGGGCCAAAAAAATTATATATTAATGTTTAATGTATATTAATTAAAACCTGTTGGGTAGATAAGAAAAAGGTCTAGAAAAAGAATGCGACCCAGTTAGGGATGGGTATGAGTTAAGTTAGGTTGGATCTTTAGTCAATTCGATCCGACCTAGAAAACCTACACCCTTCACTCGAAATTTGACCCGACATTGGTTTAGGACGACTTCACTCGATCCATCTTTTGTGATAAAACCTGAACTTAGTTTGACTCAAAATAAATATATTTATAAAAATTATTATTTTTATTCAATAGAATAGGGATCTAATTGAAAATAATATAAAGAGGGGTATTATTATAATTATCTTTAAATATATAAGGTATAATTATATTGTTTTTGGAATTGGGTCATGTATTTTTCACTCTAAATCTTAAACCCAACCCTATCCAAACTTATCGTCTAAATATGACTCGGCCTGACTTATTTTTTTTAAAATAAACTCAACCCAATATAGTGAGATTGAATCAAAATCTTTCGGGTTTGGGTCTCGTTCCCATCCCTAGGCTTGGCCCGAATATACATATATTCGATATTAGAATTTAGAAGCTTGAAGAAAAGGAAAACAACTTGGGATGTTATTGAATAATGTTGAACTAGAGATGGCTTAATTGTAATTTAACTTTTTTTCTTTTTTTTTTTTTTACCCTTTCTGTACTTAGGCAATTATCCAGTGCTGTGCCATCTATGTTAAGTTCTTGCTTATAACAGCGGCAAAGCTAACGACTCTCTCGTTGAAAGACTAATGCAAAGCACCTCACTTTTTTTTTAAAGAAAAATATATGTTGCCTTTCTCACACTCCTTTTAAAGTTCGAAACTTTCAGACAACAAGGAAGAAATCTCTGGAACTTCAACTGAAAGTAAGGAATTTTCTTTTGTAGTAAAGACTATCTTTTTTTTTCTCAAGACAGTTTGATTTGTTGGGTTGTCTTAAATTGTTGAAGCTCAAGGACACAAATATGAGGTTTCTTTCATGTATTTGTCGTGCTTTCTAAAATAAAAAGTTGAGTTTTTTAAGCTACTTCATGCGCTTTCTGTGTTGGGATTTTAGCTTAGAGATCAAAGTCATCCAAAACTCATTTGGTTGTAAAGATAAGAACTTTTAGTCATTGGGTTTGTTGTTGTTTCATGTTTTGGTGAATTTGATTGGATTGGAAGGGGATTACTGTTCATGCGTTGCTATGAAGGGGGATTGGGAGATTATTTTTTTGTTTCTGATTGATTTGGAAGACTAATGTGATTGATGATTGTGAGGGAAATCTGAGTTTTTTTAGTGATTATTTGCCAAAAGAGAGAAAACCCTTTCTGGATTTAAGCTTTGGCAATGGCCAGCATAAGGAAAAGAAGCATACAGTTAAGCAAACTTTGCTCATTTGCGTGTTGTCGGTCGGATTCTCTTGACGATCATGCGCAAATCGCGCAAAAAGGGTACTCAAGAGTGGTGTATTGCAATGAACCTGACAGTCAAGAGCAAATTCGACTCAAGTACAGGGGAAATTATGTCTCCACTACCAAGTATACAGCAATTAATTTCATCCCAAAGTCTTTGTTTGAGCAGTTTAGGAGGGTTGCAAATATATACTTTCTTGTCGTAGCTTGTGTTTCGTTCAGTCCGTTGGCGCCATATTCAGCACCAAGCATCATTCTTCCCCTCGTGGTGGTGATTGGAGCTACGATGGCAAAAGAGGGTGTCGAAGATTGGAGGCGAAGACTCCAGGTGATGTTCAAATTTCTTATTCTACTTTCAGTGCTTTTCTATTACTGTTAGTTTGCTTCCTATTGCATGCTTTAGGTTCAAGTCGTATCGTTAAAATAAAAACTATAATTTTCGAGCTAAAACATATGTGTTTAACAAATAGGACAAATCATATCGTAAAACAAGTCGAGAAATTTCACATTGTTTAATGTCCCGGTATTTATGTTGTTCCTGGAAATGACTGGCTATTATTAACAACCGTGCTGTTTTATTTCGTGGTAATTTTCTATTTTTTTTCCCACATATGATAGTGGGAAGATAATTCTTGTTCTGTTCTTTGTTATTAATCTGATTTCGATATAGATGTGACATAATCGAATTAACCGCTTTCATTCAGTTCCTGCAATGAACTGATATGTAAATATGAAATTTAGAAAAATAAAAAGCAAGTTCGAAGGCATTTCAGGACAAAAGTTTCACATCAGATGGACCAAACTCTTGAACTTGGAAATAGTAATTAATTTATCCTACTGTGATTGGAGCCTCTCTATGCTTTGTCATTATCATAGCAATAAATCATTCTTGGACTTGGGTGTGAGTGTTAGAAATGAATATGTGTGCGACATAGGAATGTTCAATTATTTCGATGTTTTTCCGTGTATTTCGAGGGTCCTTGGAGGGTCATATCTCCGCCACCATATTTGAATATGCATTTGAGGGTCCTTGGAACAACATATGGTTTCTTCTTATTGCCATCCTTAGAATGATAGAGAAGGGAATTTTGGTATGAAGCAGCATAAAAAGTTGGTTTTCGATTTGTTTTCTTTGAAAAAATGATTTATCAATTGATAGTCTTCATATTGCAAAGATCACTGCTGATAGTATTTCGTCACGTATAGAAACAGCTTGGTGAGTGGGGTAACATCATTTGGATTTTTGCTCTAATTCCTCACTTATCATATTGGAAACTTGTAGTAATGCATTTTCACATTATAATAGCTAATCAAACCATTAGATCTTCCATGTCTGCAATTTACGTTTTCAATAAGTATAATGAAGAGTGTCACGGTGAGGATGCTATTTATATTTTCATTTCTGCCTTCATATTTATTGTAACAAAAACACATTTTATTTCCTGGAGAAAAGAATGATGTGCAAAAACACTTTTTTATGTTCAGTTTTAATTTTCCTATATCATATTTGGTTTGAATTGAAACTTATTTAGCTATATTGTTGGAATTTGATCTAGATGCAATTTTCATTTTCTTATTGTTTACATACTGAAATGAATTTCTCGGTGTTTTATTGGCCCTTCGTTCATTATTTGGTTGCTCCAGTAAGGTGCTCTTTCTTCCTGTAAGTTTCCTTAGGATTTATATAAGACATCTAAAGTAGCTTTTCTATGGTTTTCAGGATATAGAAGCAAACAATCGAAAGGTTAAAGTTTATGATAGAAGTTCTTGTTCATTCAAACAAAATAAATGGAAGGATCTCCGTGTCGGTGAGCTTGTTACAGTGTACAAGGATGAATATTTTCCTGCTGATATACTCCTACTTTCATCAAACTACGAAGATGGTGTTTGCTATGTCGAAACAATGAACCTTGATGGAGAGACTAATCTAAAGTTGAAGCATGCCCTTGAGGTAACATCCTCCTTGCGAGACGCAGGGAGCTTTAAGGACTTTAGAGCTTTGATCAAGTGCGAGGATCCGAACGAACATCTTTATTCTTTTGTCGGAACTTTGTACTATGATTGTCAACAATACTCACTTTCCCCACAGCAGATACTTTTGAGAGATTCTAAACTGAAGAATACTGACTATATCTTTGGTGTGGTTATTTTCACCGGACATGACACAAAAGTAATGCAGAATGCAACGGATCCTCCTTCCAAGAGGACTAAGATTGAGAAGAGGATGGATAGGATAATTTATGTCCTTTTCAGTACTCTGATTTCAATATCATTCATAGGGTCTTTCTTTTTCGGAATCGAAACTAAGAAAGATATTAGTGGTGGAAATTATAGAAGGTGGTATCTCCGACCAGATAAAACGACTGTATTCTTCGACCCTAAAAGACCAGCAGTAGCGGCATTTTTTCATTGCCTGACCGGCCTTATGTTGTATGGATATTTGATACCTATATCATTGTACATTTCAATTGAGATTTGCAAGGTTTTACAAAGCATTTTCATTAACCAAGATCAGGCTATGTATGACGAGGAAACGGATAGGCCGGCACATGCACGAACATCCAATTTGAATGAGGAACTTGGTCAAGTCCATACTATACTCTCTGACAAAACCGGAACTTTGACATGCAACTCGATGGAGTTTGAAATGCCTGCACTGGGCGTGACGGAGGTCGAAATTGCACTGGCAAGGAAAAGAGGTGAGCAATTGACTGAACCGACATCTATAGATGGATTTGAGTCAAAAAAATCTGTCAAGGGTTTCAACTTCAGGGATGAGCGCATTATGGATGGGAAATGGGTGAATGAAGAACAAAAGGATGACATACAGAAGTTCTTTCGGGTCCTAGCAACTTGCCATACCGCAGTTCCTGAAGTAATGGATTCTGGTGAGATTATTTATGAAGCTGAGTCACCAGATGAAGCAGCATTTGTCATTGCTGCTCGAGAGTTTGGTTTTCAGTTTTTCGCAAGGAATCAGACAAGCATAAAATTGCATGAATTAGATCTCGAGAGTGGCATAACAGTTGACAGGTAACCTTTCCATAACCTTTCACATCATGCCCTTAATAATTTTATGCATATTATCAATCTTATCTGGGGGAAATATATTCTATCTACATTTTTTGATTCATGCATCATCACTCTCGACAGTTTCGGTGAGGGCGAGAAATAGTGTAGTGTTTAAAGGGCAAATTATTCTTTATGTGAACTTAAGTCTGCTTTGCATGTGATTCTATTTTGCAGAGTATACAACCTTCTTCACGTGTTGGAGTTCAGTAGTGCTCGGAAAAGGATGTCTGTAATCGTAAGGAATCCAGAGAACCAGTTGTTGCTCCTTGCCAAGGGTGCGGACAGGTAAGAACTCGGAACCCACACTTCCTCATGCTGATATATTGTGGTAACATTTTATCAAGTTGTGAAATAGTTCAGGTAATGTAGTATTTTTGTTTATCTCTATGTATTCAGTGTAATATTTGAAAGGCTTTCGAAACAAGGTCGGGCATTTGAGGACAAGACCAAAGAGCATATCGAAAGATATTCTGAGGCAGGGTTACGAACCTTGGCAGTTGCATATCGTGAGCTTGATGATGATGAGTATAAAACATGGGAAAAAGAATTTTTGAATGCTAAAACTTCTGTAACTGCTGACCGAGATGTTTTGGTGGATGAGTGGGCTGATCGGATCGAAAGGGACTTGATTCTTCTCGGTGCCACAGCAGTTGAAGACAAATTACAGAAGGGGGTCAGCTAAACTAGTTCAGAATTCATGCAACTATTTTGCTTTTATAATTTCTAGTGGAACTTCCGAAATCACTGACCTATCTCAACACTTGCTTTTACTATATATCATCTTATTAATTAAATTGAAACATGCGCAATATCCTTACAAAAGAACATAAGTGCCAAATTGTGTACATAAATCGGTCCTATTGCTTATTCTAAATTACGTATGGTTTGTATAAACTGCCATTTTTTTCCGTAAGTAGGTACCAGCCTGTATTGACAAGCTTGCACGTGCCGGAATCGGAATATGGGTCTTGACAGGAGACAAAAGGGGAACTGCTATTAATATCGGGTATGGTAACAAGTTGAATCGAACTTATTGTCTATACTTTAATGAATGCAAATGCTATAAATACTACATTTCCACAGGTATGCATGCAGTCTACTAAGACATGGAATGAAACAGATTGTGATCACGCTAGAGTTGCCGGAAATTGAAGCCTTGGTAAAACATGGGGATAAGGAGGCCATTGCCAAGGTATAGACTACATTGTTTGAAAGTGATGTTAATGCAATCTGTATTGGGAAATATCTGAATCTGTTATTGTTATTATTAGGCTTCTCTTGATTGTGTAAAGAAGCAAATAAACGAGGGAAAATTGCAAGTGGGTAAAGAAAGTTCGATTGAGTTTGGTTTGATAATTGATGGCAAGTCCTTGACTTTTGCTATGGACAAGACTCTGGTGAACGATTTTATGGATCTTGCAATGAGTTGTGCTACTGTTATATGTTGTCGATCTTCGCCGAAACAAAAGGCTGTTGTAAGTATCATGTTTACAGAATTAAGTATGCTATGGGATTTTCATAAAGATTAGCAGACTTTGTAGTAATTGACGTGAAAATAATTTGATAGAATTTTAGTATATGTCAGATTACAAGACTGGTGAAATCTGTTACGGGCAAAACAACACTAGCAATCGGTGATGGAGCAAACGATGTCGGCATGCTTCAAGAAGCTGATATTGGAGTAGGAATCAGTGGAGTCGAAGGGATGCAGGTAAAAACATGTTTCTTTGTTCTTGTATTCTTCGCCTATATTGCTCCGACTGTTTATTTTTCTTGAAGTATCCTTGTCCGATACTAGTGTCCAGCACATATAGGATGTTATGACCATAACTTGTCTTCAAGCTATCTATCTGTGTGCCTGGTTTATAACTTCTAATAACCATCTTGAATTCCAGGCTGTTATGGCAAGTGATTTTGCAATAGCTCAATTTCGTTTTTTGGAACGTTTACTACTGGTGCATGGCCATTGGTGTTACAGGAGAATATCAATGATGGTAAGAATGTTTTGTTCAGTTTTTGCATTGTTCCAAAGCTTAACTCATATAATCCTATTATTTTGATAACTCGAGAATGATTGTATTTGTCGCAGTCTATTACCTTTTCCGGGAATAGATTATGCAAACATTTAACGGAAAATGAATATCCGTGCTGAAATCTTACTTCTCTTCCCTGTCATTGTAGATATGCTACTTTTTCTACAAGAACATCACTTTTGGATTCACTCTGTTTTGGTTCGAGGCCTACACCTCATTCTCTGGCCAACCTGCTTATAATGACTGGTACATGTCAAGCTACAACGTCTTCTTCACTTCGCTACCTGTAATCGCGCTTGGTGTTTTTGATCAGGATGTTTCTTCCAGACTTTGCCTCAAGGTAAACAATTCCGCATATTTATGTCGTAGTTGCAATATCACTCCGAAGAAATTTGTTTATCCATATCCGGAACTGCTACCTGTTGTGCATATGAAGATGAATGTTGATCTCTTTTTGCAGCATCCTTCATTATACCAGGAGGGAGTGCAAAATCTCCTCTTCAACTGGGTCCTTATTCTTGGGTGGATGTTTAATGGACTTCTTAGTTCAATAATCATATTCTTCTTAACAACCAACTCGATAATTGGTCAAGCATTCCGCAAAGACGGTCAAGTTACTGATTATTCGATTCTTGGGGTGACAATGTATACATGTGTAGTTTGGACCGTAAATTGCCAAATGGCTCTTTCGATCAATTACTTCACATGGATCCAGCATCTGTTCATATGGGGAAGCATTGCCCTTTGGTATATATTCCTGGTGGTTTACGGTTCAATCCCGCCGACATTATCTACAACGGCGTACAAGGTTCTTGTTGAAGCTTGTGCACCGAGCATTCTGTATTGGCTCACCACCCTTCTCGTTGTGATCTCTGCGCTACTACCTCTGCTTTCCTACAGAGCATTTCAGATTCGATTTCGACCTATGGAACATGATAAGATACAAATACAAAGACGTAGGTCGGAAAGCTTGGAACGTGATGTAGCACAAAGCAGACTTTCGGAAAGCTCGGAGACCCGGAATTCTAGTGAGTTGCCGGAAGAGGTTAGAATCAGAATAAATAGTTTGAAGGGAAGTTCGAGGCGAAAGAACTCATAGGGATCTTTTTCTCCCTCGGCGGTTTTAAGCATAGGCGCACCAGAATTGCTTCTGCTTGACACCGGTGTGTATACTAGAGATGTAAATGCGATATATGCAAGTCTTATTAATGCATAGGTATGATTTTAATATACGAACCTCACTGATATGTATTTTTTTTTGTTTGTCATAAGCTTTGTCCATCTTTTGAATTTGCAATGAATTTACTCTTGGAATTTTCTTAGCAACCAAACACATTTTCCCAGTAATAGCTAAGTGGAACATTTGAAAGTAATTTTTGACTGGAACGATCTGACCCATCAAATGTGGATGTCACATATGTCACTGAAGCGATTTGGAACAAACTATATGTAAAACATGCTCTTATTTCTTTTATATTTTTTAAATTAAATTAAATCAATTACCGTACATCAGTGAAAGTATTTAAAACATACAACGTAATGGGAAAATAATTCCATTCTTTTAAACTAAGACAAGCAAGTAAACATAATTACATGGGTAGTTTAATAATACCATACAATTCGTACGAGTCATTTTTTAAAACTTAAATTAAACATCCTAACCATCTTATACATATTCATGCAAGCAATCTACAAACGTTTATCCAAATCGAACTTCAAAATCTTCTTTAATTGCATTTTTATTAAGTTCAAGGAAATATTTGTAAAACTCTATCAAAGTTATGATACTAAGTTTAAAAAAATAAATTTCTAGTTCTTAACGAAGGTAATTCAATTTTAAGTTTACCGTTAAAATTTTAGCTTATTTTCAGTTGGGATTCATTTTCTTTATTAGTATGGGATGAATATAAGATAGTATCTGTTCAAAAAAATTTGTAACTATATGGCAGTTAACGCTCATGTTCGAATCTAAGACCTCAAGGGTTAACAACAATCCCATAACCACTGGGATCGTTTAGTTCGTACATTCACTTCAGTTTCATTTGCAAAATCTGGATACTATTTTATAAGATAGTATCGATTTTTTTTTCATTTTAATAATTAAGAGATGATACTTTTTCTAAAAATTCTCAAAATTTACTTGAATGACGCATAATGAGCCAGCAATCTAACTCATAATTTTTAATAGTTAATGAACGTACAAAAGCATATTTGGAAACATCGAAATCATGCCAGTAAAATTGATCATGCCTTGACAATGAAAAATTCAATTATATATTATGAGTCACTTTTTATGAGTCATTTTAGACAATCAAGTATAATTTCTAATACTCACAAGTTTTACATACCAATTTTATGTCGTTGACCTACTCAAACAACTCCGCAACACAGAGTTGTCTCGGTTATTTTCAGAGTCTTGACTTCAAAATAGGATCTTATAGAATGAGAGTATATACTATTACTTTTAACAACTAATTTAATATTACATTAATAAAATATAAAAAAATGATTTTGATATGGTATGGATCTTGATTTTGATCAATAAATAAAAAATAATCAATAGTGTATTATTTTACCGTTAGATTGAGATTGGATAAGACTAAAAATTAAAGAATATTTGATAAAGAAGAAAACTTTTATTGTTTCGTTGTCTCTTGCTGCTTCACGCTCTCCTTTGACCGCTTCTCTTAAGATCTCAAAAGCCCAACACAGTGTCGTTGAATCCTTTTTTTGGTTCTTTGAACAATGGATTGGTCGGCCCTGCCCTGGTGTTTTTGGGGATTAGGGTTCGTTGGCTTTCATCCCCAAATTTGCTACTCAATTGATTAGGTGTTCAATTCTAGCTTGGTGAGATCGTTTCTTTCTCTTCAAGCTGTGATTTTATTCATGTTTCTAATTGATTGCTGCTTCGTGCTTGAGATTTGGTTTATGTATGAATTAGTTTCATAGTTTTGAGTTACTGCGTGGGTTTCTAGTCAGCTTATGGAGTCAGATTGCTATAGTTAAATCTGCATGCAAGCTGTTTATGTAAAAACCATAGTGAACTAGTCTATTGCTCACTTGAAATAATACAGTATGTGGGAGAGTGTTTCAGGTCTTTCGTCGGAGTCTGTTTCTTTGTTTGTGGATATTCTATCAAACACCTCTTCATTGGTAAGGTTTATGGAAGATAGTGGGTCGCTATGGTGAGGTTCTGAGTGTGTATATTACATAGAAGATGAGTCGAGTATGCTCTAGGTTTGGATCCATAAATGATGTTGGTTCTGAAAGTGACGTTCTCAAGGATTTAGCGTCTCCAGAATTGTTTGAATTTGGTGCGTGACTGTCAAAGGTTGTGGAGGTTTAAGGCTTTGGTCTTGAGGTTTTTTGTCGTGGTTTTTAAGAGGAGTTGGAGTAGTTTTATAAATAGTATTTTAGTGTAAGGATTTTAGTAGGTTGTTTTTATTGTTAGTCTGATTTGCTGTGGCTAAAGTATTATTGGTTGACAAGTTGTTTTCTGGTGGATTACTTCATTTCACCGTTTACTGTTTGGTGGGTGTGGTTGTCCAGTGGCATGTGCTTTGGTGGGTGGTGTCATTCTTGTGCTTTGGTGATCTGCCGCATTTGATTGTGTGTTGTTGTTGCAGCTGTCTTGTGTTTGCTTTGGCTAGTTATATGTTCTTTGGTGTTGCTTATAGATGTTGTCCATTGTCCGCTCCTGTGTTTGTGTAATGCATTGTGTGTTCATTGATGGCACTCTGGCCGGTGGTGGAGCGGCGAATACAACAATAGTCGGTGATGAGATGTTTCCTAGGTTACAGGAGGGTTCCGCTTCAGATGTTGGTTTCGAGGTAAACTTTATTGAAGAAAGTTTCAATGAAACACTAAAAAAGAAAAGTGAAGATGGTGCCCTGAAAAGTTGGTATCTGCATGTTGTTCCTATTGTGGGAAATGAGGTGGCTGTCGATAATAGTTTATTCGATGTGCCCTTAGTGTTGAATGATGGGCCGTTTAATCTGTTAGTGGATGATAACATTGGTTTAGTTGGTATTAATAGAGAGCCAGCCCATATTGAAATGATCCAATCCATCTCCAATAATTTTAGATTTTTAGAAGTTCCAATAGTTGAAGTTTCATCTATTAAAGGCAGAGTGGAAGGAAATCGGGTGTGAAGCATCTATTGTTAACATAATGAAAATTCCTTCTAATTTAGGAGTTATTAATTCTGCTGTGGGCATGTTAGAGTCTGGTGGTGCAGTTTGGAGCTTCAAGGAAGAGGGTGCTCGAGAGATTGGAGTCCATTGTTCAATCGGTGTTTGATGTTAGTCGCTAATCTTGTCGAGTGATCATCTAACCTCGGGAAGATTCAGTATCTGCAAGTTATGTTTCGATGGGAATCAATTTTCTTCTATGCCAGACGAGTTGGGCTAGCTGGTAAGCCTTGAGAAGTTTCGAACCGGATGTTTGTTGTTGTCCTGGTCTGAGATTACTAGCAATTTCAATTTGGGAGTTGTTCCTTTGGAAGATCAGCAAGTGAGTTCCATTTCTTAGCTCGTAGTCGTTGATGTATCGTTTTGTTGTTAAGTTTCATTCCATGGTTTTGATGTATGCGTTTGGTTCCCAATTAGGCTTCTTTTCAATTTGTCGGTTAGTCTGTGTTGGTTTCTTTGTGTTGAATTGGGGATTGTGGTAGGGCGGGGGTATGGTCTGAATGTTGTTAAAGTTTTATGTGTATAAGTTCCTTACCATCTCAAGGTACACTCCTTTTGATCATTTAGGGTTAGGGGTTTTTTTAATGAGGTCTTTGAGGTGGTGTACTTTGTTTATCATTAATACAAAGTACCCTCTTTAAAAAAAAGAATATTTGATAAATTGAAAAATGTAATTTGAAGAAGAAAAAAGAGAAATATAAGTAGATTTAATTCAAAATTAAATAAATTAACGAGAGAGATGGAGAAATGGATGAAAAATTGAGAATTTTTATAAAACTGAAAAAATTATGAGTCTTAGTTATAAAGGTAAAATGTGAGATTGTAAAAATTAGAGGCTTCAATAAAAACAAAAAGTGATATTAAAAAAAATTAGGGATCTCAATTATAAAGGTAAAAAGTGAGATTAAAAAAAATTAAGGGTCTCAATCATAAATATAAAAATGTGATTGAAAAAATTAAGGGTCTCAATTATAAAGTTAAAAAGTGGGATTACAAAAAATAGGGATCTCAATTAATGTGACACAATTTAAATTTTCATCATCATCAATGATTTGTGTATTTTTTTTAAACTTGAAACATAATTAAATTTATATACATATCAGATAAACAAATCTACTATCAACTCTTATTTTATAGACTCAGAGAGTCAAACTTAGTCCCAGGGTTTATTCTAATTTAACTCAAAACATCTCATTTAACCCCAAATCATTCCCTAAGGCCACAAGCACAAACAATATATCATTTGACATGATTTATAACTAATTCTAACATCAATTTCATCCCAAGGAATCGAATCATGTACTTAGCTATAGCACACATAAAATGTATATTTTAACTCACAAGACTTTATATTTATGGTTCAAATGAAATCTATTAAAAATAAGAATCTTACACAAAAACTAAAAAGAATGTTCATTAATCACCTCTTCAAGATTTCTCATTTCCCTTGGCCTTAGAAGACTTTCCTGACTCCTCTATTTTAAGACTTACTTTAACCACATCGGTAAAATCAGGTAAATAATACAAGCGAAATAATTAATTAGCAAAATAAAGAACCCTCAAATTTATTTTGAAATCTAAGTCATTTGCTACAGTGTGAAACTCGTCACGTGAAAGTGATAAGTTCCATAAAATATATTAAAAGAATAAAACTCATCATATGAAATGAATCAAAATTATATGAAACCATCACCTCCATATGATGAGTTTCACATACACCGTAACAAATAGCTTAGATCCTAAAATAATTCTCAACCACCCTCATTTTTCAATAAAAAAATCTCGTATGTATTATTTCCCTGATTTTGCCAACCACATCAATACTCAAGTATGAAGAAAGGAATGAGATAGAAGAATATGGAAAGAGGTAGGAAATAAGAGTATGTGAAATGAGGACATACTTTGGCTATATGTCCCCTAACCCCAGGGTTGGATAATAAAAATCAAGGCCATATCTAATTTGTTTTCCCAAGGGGAAATTATACCTTTAATCTTCCACATTTTCTCTCACATTCAAAATTACCCCTTAGAATTATCGATTGGACTGAATTCTTCCTCAATTAAACTTGAAACTTGATTAACAAGCTAGATGTTCCTTAATTCATCAATGCTAAGCTCGAGCCAACTCTTAAACAACAACTCAGGATTTTTTACTTGTTATAGAAAGAGAAGAAGAGTAGTTCGATGATATTTTCAATCGGAGAAACCATCAAGCGACAATAGAAATGAAGGTGAAAGGGGGTAAAAGATTACCTATTCGAAATAATTTCACATACCGTCACAAATGTCATTAAAACTAGTGCTATAACAGCTACTGACAACATATTACATTATAATAGTTAGGTTGAGAGAATCATATTCGTCTTTGTAATATTCGATTTAAGTTAATCGATCGATAGATCATATATATATATATATATATATATATATATATATAAAGTGGTTATAAAAAAAACTTGGACTAGGAGAGGAAGAGCATTTTGTCCTTTTGCGAGAATGGCAAAAACATGACAACATTATTAGGTACATAAAACACGGCATGCTATATCCAACTCTTTAGTTTTTAAAAGTCGTATGATTTTATTTTAGGCTTAATTATATTTGAGGTCCTTAAACTTTTAGAAAAACAAATGTAGCCCTTAAATTTATTATGTATCCAATGTGGCCTTAAATTAAACATATTCATATAGTTGAATTAGAAAAATTAGCATGCTTTTAATTTTATATACATATCAATTACCACTATATATGTCATACATTTTTATCTCATACATGCATGCATACTAAATATGTTTTAATTATCATACATTCATATTATTTGTATTTATACAAATTTTTCTTATTAAATTAGTCGAGACTTAAGAATTATGCATCCGAATATAATTAGGAAACATCATAAACCATTTGAATCAATCGTACACACATCTAATTATATTTTGAATAATTCTAAAGGATATTTTATGACATTATGATCTTATGTTTAAAGAATATTAAAACAACTAAAAATATTAAAAAAATATTATTATATTTTTTATTAAAAATATGTTCAACAAGTAACTGTATACTCAAGATGATGAGACCTAATCAGAAACTTTTTTGTTGCGAGTATTTCAATTTTTTTAATACTTTTAAATATTTATTTTTTAATAATTCATAATTTTTCATTTTATAAATTGTGATATTTTTAAATTTATTTTCTTTTTAAAATTTTAATAATTTTTTGGTATTTTTTAATAATTTCATTTTTAGTATATTATTTATTATTCAATTAATATTTTTTATATTTTAAAATTTAAATAATCTTTATTTATTTATTCTTAAAAATAAATAAGTTCTTAAAGTTTCTAAAAGATTAATTAAGTTCTTGATTTTTTTTAAAAAATCAATTAAGTCCCTCGATCACGTTAGTATCCACCATAGAATGTCACGTCAGTACTATAAACTGTCATAGTACTATGAACCGCCAAATCAATACCACGACGGTCAATAATGATTTTCATTAGTCAAAGAGTCAAGTTGAATTTTTTTTCTAGTGTAAAGGTTATATTGGGTACAAAAATAAAATTAGGGGCCAATTTTTTTTCAAACGTTTGGGGGATATAAAGTACAATTAAGCCTTTTTTATTAATAAGTATGTTGACACTTTTAGAAGAAACAAACAACACATATAACTACATCAGTTTCCAATAATAAACGATCCTCCATTTTTCTAGTTAAGTACTCTTTAAATTCATTTGCAAGGGACTATAAATTTGAAGATTTGCACAACTCACAGGGATTGTTGGATCATTCATTTTCTTGTGGAAGAAACAAGAAATTTTCGCAAAATTTACTTGGAAGTTGGATCGAACATGGCCGTTTTCAGATGGAGGCGGTGGGTTAAGCAAGCAAAGCCAGCCGTGCACGATGGACTGGCTCTTCAACGTTATGCAACGGTTGATCGCCGGCCATCCCGGCAGAGAACAAAACTAATTTAATTAGATTTCCAGGAACAAGAACTTGGTGAGCTCCAAACGGCATATGATATGCTGAATTTCAATCATTAAATTACTTTCTTTTTCATCATTCTTCTTGTTCCTTATCGAGTACCATCAATGTTACTTGAGAATATGTAAATGAAAATATGTGAAGAATATAAATACTAAAGATCAGATAATTAATATAAACAAAATATTTATCTTATTATTCACGGAGAATCACAATCGATGATAAAAAAAATTATCGTTAACGGTGTCAAAGTGATTTATCTCCATAAGGAGGTAGAGCAAATGAGAATAAGGGTGAATTGATTTCATTATGGTCATTTCTCGGTCGTGCTTTAGAAGTTTTATAGTGATACTTGGTGCGTGTGTCAACTGTAGAGTCATAATGGTTACATGTAGACTGACAGATTAAGTGGATACAATCATATGATGATAGATTCTCTTAATACTAAAGCGATAGAGATGTTTTAAATCTTTTATAATTGTGAGACAAAAATAATTTGTAAAGATTTTTAACGAAAGTGCAACGCTCATAATATTTAAGTAAAATCCAATGTCTCTCTCAAATTAAATGGTAAAATCCTTGCTGGTTGCTCTCATCTCATCAATATAACAATAATTTCTTCCTTTGTGAATGAAGATGGAGGAGACTACAGTGCAAGATTTTGTCACAATGCAAGCAAATCGAGAAACTTGGAGGGAAGACAAATTGGAGCATAGCGTAGAATACGTGGACATAATCCAAAACCAAATCGTTTGAAAAGAACATGAGAAGCTGACAGGCACAGAAGCAGCACACAGATGATGAGAGCCATGTTTTAGCGATAGGGTCTTATCTTCATCACTAATACTTCTAATGTTTTTCACCCATTCATTCATCTCTTCTTTCATATGTATCAACACACGTGTTGCTCTCTTGTTTCTTCTTTTTTGATATGTATGTGGAGGATGGGCATTGCATGCATGTCCCAACATGTAAAATATATTAAGATAACATGAAAAAAAATGGTAGTAAATTCATGATCATACGTTTAGAGAAGAGAGTAAATAAAATTTGATCTCCAACGTTCAAACCTCATCTACAAAGGTAGAAGCTCTCCTTCACCAAGCTTTCGTTTTCATTATCCGGATTCCGGGACAAGAATCGTTAATAAAAACATGGTATAAATCTAGTGTATTGTATGACACATAGTGGCAATGTCGACTGCTTCCATCAACGGCTGGTGCCTCACCTCCTCCACCACCGCTTCTTCCTCTCTCCGCCGACCCACATTACGCCCCTCCTCCGTTGTTGCCTCCCTCAACTCTTCCCCTTCTCCTCCTACCCTCATTCGTAACCAACCTGTTTTTGCAGCTCCTGTTCCTTTGCTCAACCCTTCTAATTGGGTACATACACGCACACTCTTTCTTTCTTTCTTTTTCAATATCATATAATATAGGGTAAACTACATATTTAGTCATCCAACTATTCTTGTGTTTCTGTTTTAGTCACTCAACTATTTTGTTTTTCAAAATCATCACTAACCTTACGTTTTTGTTCCATTTTGATAATCCTTCGTTAAAAAGTTAACATAACCGCATATGTAGTAATTTTTTATTATTTTTACAAAGATGACATGACATTATCTTTTGGTGACATGTTAACATCACTGTTTATTTTTTAACTGACTGTTGACCAAATATATATATATATATATTTGGAAAAAATTATGTTTCATTGTCATGCAAAGATTAGAAAAAAGTATAATGTGGCAATGCATTAGAGTTTTGCATGTGAAAATCCATATGCATGGCTTAAAGACGTACGAAGATGGTGAAAATCTATATTCAAATCACGTTTTATCTCATGATTAAGAAACAACGTGGCATCTCATCAATGGTTCTAATGCACTTACCTGGTCTACTGACACCTGTGTGGCTCTGATTAACACCAACCAACCAATCAAATTAATGCCATCTCTTTTTGGCTAAATATCATCAACATCCACTATAAACTGAGCTAAATTAAAATTAAACATATGCTATACAGACAAAGATTCATTACATATATATATATGCATGTAATAAATAGTAGGTGTGAAACAGTTTCTAAATTATATTTGGGTTTGAGAATTGGCAGAGAGAATACATGGGAGACAAGACATACGAGGAAGCCATTGAAGGTCTCAAGAAACTGCTCAGGTAATATATATATATGTGGAGTATATATATATATACAGTGACTTCTATAACTGCCAATTTTCACGTTTGTATCTGTTCTTTGATTGTAGTGAGAAAGAAGAATTAAAAGCTGTGGCAGCTGCAAAGGTAGACCAAGTGACAGCTGAGTTGAAAACATCAGCATCTGGTGACTCAGTGGAGAGGTTGAAACAAGGATTCATTCACTTCAAAAAAGAAAAATACGAGTTAGCCATCACCCTTACTCCATTATTTCAACAATTTTTTTCTATAATGTTTTTTTATATATTTAAAGTATGTGACTTTTGCAGAAAGAATCTTGCTTTGTACGCTGAGCTTGCCAAGGGCCAAAGCCCCAAGGTACACACACTAAAATATATGTGTCGTTGCAAATTGCAATGCTTTTCTAGTACTAAATGTTGGTATAATTTGTTGCAGTATATGATTGTTGCCTGCTCCGACTCCAGGGTGTGCCCATCGCATGTGCTGGACATGCAACCGGGGGAAGCTTTTGTGGTCCGCAATGTTGCTAATATGGTGCCACCATACGATCAGGTAACTTTTTTGATCCCTCTGGATAACAGCAAGTTATTACAGATGTTGAAATTCAAACAGCTTCTTGACACATTGTCAGTGTTATGACAGATTAAATATGCTGGAATTGGTTCTGCTGTTGAATATGCTGTTTTGCATCTTAAGGTAAAACATGTGAAAATCAAGAACAAACAATGGAACAGTTCATAGTTTCTTGGAAATCTCGGCGTGAATCAAAGTGTTAAAATCCCTTTGTCAGGTTCAAGAAATCGTGGTCATAGGGCACAGCGCCTGTGGTGGAATCAAAGGGCTCATGTCTTTCCCATTTGATGGAACTACCTCTACGTATGTGCCTTGTTGCTTTCCGAAACAACTTTCCACATTTACCAACTAAAAGAATTATAATAATGGATTTACCAACAATGAATTTACTGTAACCTGATTGATATTTGCAGTGATTTCATAGAAGAGTGGGTTAAGATTGGAATCCCTGCTAAGAAAAAGGTTCTAGCAGACCACGCCAGCGAGCCTTTGGGAGCTCAATGTACACATTGTGAGAAGGTGGACACCTTACCCCTCAGCTTCTACACACACACACACATACATACACACACACATACAGACATACATACATACATACATACATACATATACATACATACACACATACAACACAACACACACACACACAACACACACACACACACACACACACACACACACACACACACCACACACACACACACACACACACACACACACACACACACACACACACACACAACCCACACACACACACACACACACACACACACACCACACACACACACACACACACACACACACACACAACACACACACACACACACACACACACACACACACACACACACACACACACACACACACACACACACACACACACACACACACACACACACACACACACACACACACACACACACACACACACATACATACATACATGCATACATGCATGCATACATGCATACATACATACATACAGATTACATGAACCAAGTTTCTAACTAATGATGGGTACTGTATTATGATTTGCAGGAAGCAGTGAATGTATCACTAGGAAACCTGCTAAGTTATCCATTTGTGAGAAATGGACTGGCCAACAAAACTCTAGCACTCAAGGGTGCTTACTACGATTTCGTCAAAGGAACTTTCGAGCTCTGGAGTCTCAATTTCGAGCTTTCATCGCCTCTCTCCGTTTGAAAAACAACCAACCATAACCATCATCAGTGACACCATCTTTCTGGTGTTCCTGAATCACTTATGTCTTTTTTTACTGCAATGTACTACTATATATGCTTGTGTCTTTCTGAGCTAATAAACATATCAATGGAGTTTTTATTTACTACTTACTGTAAATTTCAACATCTTTCGGGTCCTTCAAACTCTTTCAATAGAGTTCATCTTTCTCACTCTTCCATTATTACACTTCATTGAATAAGGGATCGGTTTCTCTGCTGTTTGTTCATTCAAGAACTTGGAGCAGTTGTAATTGCCATTCAAGAGTCATGTGGACATGTTTCTCTCCAATAGGGTATATATATATTATGTTCCTTTTATTTATTGAAAAGATTGAAAATTTATATTACCTGAATTTTTTTAAAGTATTTATGTTTAATATTTGAATCTGACATATTCAGATATAAATATATTCATATTTGGCATTCACTCAAATTCAAATAAACAAAATTTCATTCAATACTGTTTCTATAAATGTATACCGCATCTACAGGAAAAAAGTTAATAATTGAATCTGACCTTACACAAAGTGAATGTATATTGAATAAAAATTAATTAGACCTTTTAGCCATGTTAGCCTTTTATGGTTTTCAAACCATTTAACATCTTAATCTTCAAACACGTGAAATGAACATGGTTTAAAGGTTAAACAAGTGGTTTATAATGTATCAACATCTGAAAATTGAACATTCTGATGTTAGACAAGCATCCATACCCTAGTTGGAATGACAGTTTGTAGCTATTAAGCATGATCAAAAGAAGAATATTTATTGAAGTGATCAATCATGGCAAGTGTACTTAGCTCATAATCAGCGTCAGGAATCCAGGAAGTGTTCATGCAACTCGTGCTGATCATTGATTCTTCTGTGTCGTTTAAGACCCTATGATCAATGGCTTGCTGGTTACTTTGATCCTCTGTCATGTCAATGGCTCCAGTACTGGTGATGCCATCTCCAGGACTTGGATCCATGGCAGCCTGATGATGATCATCACCCGCTTTTACTGGCTTTGAACTTTGACGAAAATCGACCTTTTTCTCGTTTTGATCCTTGATTCCTAGTTTCTGCCTCAAATGATTGTTCCAGTAATTCTTCACTTGATTATCAGTTCGTCCCAGAACTCGTTTCGCAATCAAAGACCACCTGCGAACATAAAACATAGCAAGCCGGATGAACGATTAAGACATGGGCTCGAAAAGATTTGAACTGAAGAGTTGTGTAAAACCTGTTTCCAAGAAGCTTGTGAAGTCTAATGATAAGGCCTTCTTCTGCCTCAGAGAAATCGCCTTTTTTAATGTTGGGGCTTAGATAATTCATCCACCTTAGCCGAAAACTTTTCCCACATCTCTTCAAACCTGTAAGAAAGCAGACACAAAAACAACAGATAATTTATAACAAAGAATATAAGAATGAAGAAATGAACAGGGTTAAGAACCTGTTCTGTTGGCTATTTTATTCCATTGGCCTTTTCCATGGACCTTGACGTAATCGATGAGTAATTTGTCTTCCTCCTTTGTCCATAACCCTTTTTTGTATGGAATTCCACCTTTTTTCATGCTCTTTCTTGTTGGAGTTAGTTGATATCTGTAGAAGATCACAAAGGATAGGATCCTGGTTTTATATGCATATATGGAGATAATGATCGGGTTGATGATGATGGGATGGTAGTTTTTTTGTTTTTTGTTAGCTCTTGAAGTAATTTGTCCTCTTACTTGGATTAAAAGGAAGTTATAAAACTTCATTTTCATCGAGTGTAACTTTTATACATAATAACTAAAAGGTTATAAATATTAGGGTAAAGTACATAAATGGTCTCCGACTAGGGTGTTACTTTGTTAAATCTCATTGTTATTAAAAGTGGAAAAATGATCCTCTGACTATAAGACATTGTTTTGTTGGGTCTTCCGATATTAAAATTAAACAATAGTCAATCAACTATTCATATATTCCACAATCATAATTTTTTCGTTAAAAAATTGATGTTGTTGAACTAAACATTAACATGATGACTAAGATATGATAAAATCATATTTTAATGATGTCTACTGGCACCATCGTTGTATTCAAGTACTGGCTCGTTAGCATAATATTTCAAGCAATGGCTCGACGACATAATGTAAATGGAGGTTCGATCCACAAAATATAACTAAAACGATTCTGGGATCAGATTTTAACATATCTCAGTCAATAGATTAACGTTCATCTCAAACGACCACCAATTTTTTTAATGAAAAAGAATGAGTTTAAAACATTGAATAGTTAAGTGACCATTTTTGTAACTTTTAATAGTTGAAAGACTCAACAAAACAACATCATATAGTCTAGGGATCATCTTGTAACTTTTAATAGTCAATACTCATTAAAATAATATCTTATAATTAAGGGATCATTGTGTACTTTACCGTAAATATTAGTACTAGCAAAAGAATTAAATTGCATAGCAACAACTAACTGCATGCAGTAGTAGAGGACCTTAACAAATGCACATTTATCCAAAATTGGAAACCCCACCAATGCCTACGTGCTAAGGGCATCTCTTGCTTTTTGGGACAATCAATTCCCCTTTCCTCTTTTCCATACTTCCACCTATACACTTTGCTATGCTTAGCTTAGCTGCCAAATCCTATTTTCATACTCCAATATCTAGTGAACATAATTTCCTTTATATATCTAAAGGAAAGATTTCAACATTTCCATGCCTCCAAAGGAATCAACGAACATTTATTAATTAACTTGTATGAAATATAAATATTTAAAAAAGTTTTCAAATTATACCATTTTTTAAAGTGGTGTTTAAACTTTTTTTAGATCAATTCAGTGTCAAATATTATAAATATTACTAATTTTAGTGCATTCTCCGTAACAGCTATTAAAAAGGTCTGTTAAATGACATACGTCGTTTTTAGATAATTTAATTTTTTTATTTTTAAAAAAACTTAAAAATATTATTATATTTAAAAAAAACTCTAATTTCTTTAAAAATACAAAAAAAAAAACACCCTAATCTTCCATAAGCAGTGCCCCTCCTCCTAGTCGTTCTGCAAACCCCTCTCCCAACGGCGTTCAAACTCGAAAACTCCCCACCCAAGTGTGAACACGACCATCCTAATTCCCATATTGAATGCCCGTCGCGTAGCTATTCAAGTAGAAGTGGTATTAAAATTAGCTTTAGGGTTGTTTGGATCAACGAAAAGATTATTACTCTTGGTAATAATATTTTTCGGAATCACATACTCTTATTTGATTCAAAAACATTCCCTCTAAAAGGTAATAGAGAATTACCAACAGTACTTTTTTTTTTCTTGGATTCATGGGAATCTTATTCCCTCATCCATCTTAGCTATTTAATAATTCCTATAGTTTTGGAAAAATTACCCCTAAAATAATTGAATAATTTCAAAATTATCATTTCTTTTATTCTTTTAAACTTTGTAATAAATTCTATGAATTTAGATTTTATAAATAAAATATATAAAGAATTTAGATTTTATAAATAAAAATATATAAATTAGAAATAATGAAATATTTATTTTTTATTTTATTTTAATATTAAGAATTCAATTTTTTAAAAATATATCATAGGACAATTTGGTAAAATATACATTATAGTAATATTATATTCCTTTAATCAAACACTATAATCTTACATTTTGTCAAACAAACTAAAAAAGGTAATGTAACATTCCCTGTGTCAAGTAATGGTACATTCCAATAATCTTATTCTTAAAAGTAATCTTATATTTCCTGTACCAAATGACTCTTAGGGTTTCAGGCATTTAGGGCTAGACATTGATAGGTGGATGGATGGTTGTTGTTCTGGTGGCTGGTCATCGAGTAACCAGTCGTCGGTGGAGGTGCAGACAGGTGGAGGTTCGATCGACGACAATCGACGCGAGTTTAAGGATTAAAATAAGTTTTTAATAAGCTTGTTTTGCAACGACGACTCATTTTTCTTTCGAGTGTCCATATTCGACATGTTTTCTATAAAAGTCTGAGGATGTGATCATCCAAAACCTTTAAAAACTTGATATTCACATATTGGGATGGATGCATTTTTTACAAATGTAAATGCCTTCTGCTTCACAATGTGTCAAAGATGATACAGGTTGATGGCTTATGTACAACAAAATCGTTTCCAGTAAAATGGCTGATAATCACATTTCCTGGCATATCAACTATACTTAAGGTTACACAACATACCGAAACACATTTCACGACTCGTCCGGCTTTGGCTCGAGTACTACAGGGATCTTCTCCTTGTGATCTCCGCGCAACACCTCCATGGTAACCTAAGAATTAAGATTATGGAAAAGTTTGTACATAAAAAATTATTTAACATACATATGGAGAGAGAAGTGGATATAGGTATTATTCAATGCTATACCGTATCCCCAACTTTGCATTGATCAAGAATTCTGTACAAATCGCTGCCATTAGTGACCTTCATCCCATTAACGGATGTTATTATGTCACCCAAAATGAGTCTACCATAAGCATCACGCTTTGTTGGTAGCAGACCCTGAAATATATTAAAAGGTTAGCTTTGCAATACAAACAAAAAATCTTCAACATGTCATTGAAGCATAATGGTCAAGGAGTTTACTACAGATATGAACATTGTAGTATAAATTTCAATAAGACATTGAAGTCAGATGCAGAAATACAGTAAGCATACCGCCTTGCCTGCGGGACCATCTGCAGGAGCATCTAAGACAAGTACACCACTTACTCCCAACTGTTCGACAGATTGATCCGGTGCAAATTTAATGCCTAAAATAGGTCTCGTCACCTTCCCGAACTTCACCAACTGATCAACAATGCCACTGACCTGGAAATGTAGGAATTCCAAGCAAAGAAAACAAAACAAATAAATACTTGCATCTCAGTTCACACACATCAGATCAAATAGAAGGTCCGCAGTAATACTCACCGTGTCAACTGGAATTGAAAACCCGACACCAGAAGATGCACCAGAAGGAGAATATATAGCAGTATTTATCCCAATAAGGTTTCCAGAACTGTCTAGGAGTGGCCCTCCACTATTACCAGGATTAATGGCAGCATCCGTCTGTATAACATCTTGGATTGGGCGACCAGTGGCAGCAGAA